TCGCCCAGCTTGTTCGGAGTTTTGGGCTGGGCTGCCATCAGTATGCCGATGACACCCAACTCTATCTGTTGATGGATGGCCATCCTGACTCGGCCCTGCAGACACACTGACCAGATGTTTGGAAGCTGTGGCTGGATGGTTACGTGGGAGCCGGTTGAAGCTAAATCCTTCGAAGACAGAGGTCCTGTGGCTGGGACGGGGCGATATGGGATTGGGGGGGCAACTCCCATCTCTTGCAGGGGCGCAATTAGTGCCAGCACCGTCCGTTAAGAGTTTGGGTGTAATCTTCGACACCTCCCTTTCCATGAAGGCACAGATTGCAGCTATAACAAAGGCGGCATTTTTCCATCTCCGCCAAGCTAAGCAGTTGGCTCCTTACCTCTCTCGCCCTGACCTAGCCACTGTGATCCACGCGACGGTCACCTCCAGACTGGATTATTGTAACTCGCTCTCCGTGGGGCTGCCCTTGAGACGGACCCAGAAACTCCAGCGGGTGCAGAATGCTGCAGCGAGACTCCTTACGAGGTCTTCGCTACGAGATCACATTCACCCGGGTGCTATACCAGCTGCACTGGCTCCCGGTGGAGTACAGGATCAGGTTTAAGGTGCTGGTTTTAACCTTTAAAGCCCTATACGGCCTAGGACCCTCGTACCTACGGGGCCGCCTCTCCTGGTATGCCCCACAGAGAAACTTACGGTCTTCAAATAAAAACATCTTGAAGGTCCCAGGCCACAGAGAAGTTAGGCTGGCCTCAACTAGAGCCAGGGCGTGTTCGGCCGTGGCTCCATTCTGGTGGAACACTCTGTCACAAGAGACCAGGGCCCTGCGGGACTCTGACATCTTTCCGCAGGGCCTGCAAGACAGAGCTGTTCCACCAGGCCTTTGGCCAGGGCACAGCCTGACTCCCTCCTCGGCAATCTTTGCGGAGCTCTGGCCCAATGGTTGCCAGTGGCTTGAATTAATTAATTTTATAATGAATGATTTTAGAATGTTGTTTATGCTGTACTTTTGTACTGTTTTATTGTTGTTAGCCGCCCTGAGCCCGGCTTCGGCTGGGGAGGGCGGGATATAAATAAAATTTATTATTATTATTATTATTTCTTAATCCTCCTTTGACTCAAGCTCAACCAACAGTGGTGCAAAGTGAGGGGTCCCCCAATTTGGAAAGACCCTCCTGCTAGGCAGTGTGTGAACCTGGGAACCTGGGGCTCACTGCCACCCAGGAGTGCCAGCTTGAATAAAATATGTGGGGGAAGGTAAGCCCTGCCACACATACTCTGTCACATGGCATGGCACATACATCCCATTTGAATGGCGATGCCTATCAACTCTGAGGGGACCTGGCCCTCTCAAATATTTTCGGGTGGGGGGGGTCAAAAGCACCTTGGCTCCTATGTCACCACCCATGTATGCCATGCAAAGCTATGTTTTAGTATGGTATGCCTATGTGCCCTATAGCTCCAGGTGTATATTTTCGGGAAAATAATAGGAGTGCATTCTAGAGCAGTTGGGGTATACAGCGGTAACTTGGAAGTTAAACGGAATCCATTCTGGAAGTCAGTTCGACTTCCAAAATGTTCAAACACCAAAGTGCGGCTTCCGATTGGCTGCAGGAAACTCCTGCAGCCAATCAGAACCTGCAGAACCCATGTTGGACGTTCGGGTTCCAAAGAACGTTCGCAAACTGGAACACTCACTTCTGGGTTTGCGGTGTTTGTGAGCCAAAACATTCGACTTGCAAGGCGTTCGGGATCCAAGGTACGACTGTGTTTTGATTTTTTATCTTCTGGCCTGAAAATGTTTCAGGTTGATGCTAGCCGAATTCAAACATTTCCTTTGCAGTGTGGGAGCCATGTTGCTTTGCTCTGTCCCACAGAACTCCAGTGCCTTGTAAAAAAGGCTCCACATTGGAGTAATGGCTTCATCTCGTTACTTCCCACACCAATGCCATCCTTTTCTGGGCATCTGTGGGAAGGAAAATAAGAGCTTTATCCCACTTGTCCAAATGGTGCTTTTAAATTTTTTTATTACAAATATTACCAGAACAGTTTAGATGGGGTAACCTCGTATCTGCAGCCTCCTGCACACTATAAAGGTAACATTTGATTCATCCCTTCCTTTAAAGTCAGGAATCGGTTGAATATAAAAGTTGAGTGACAGAAGGGACTGGGGGTTGTGGTTCAGGCAACATAAAAAAAAATAAAAAAATTAAGGAGCATGTATTTCCATATCCTACGCTGCCTCTGAAGAATAAATTGCTCACCAAATGACACTTCATCTCCCAAGCATGTCTGTGCTAACAGTTGGATGCTAAGCGCCAGTCCATTTGGCTCCCAGGGGTATCGTGCACCTCCTGGCCAGATGCTCTCTCTTTCTGCTTATATGACATACATACCTATTCACAGCACCTTGCCAGGGGTGGGGGAGAGGAACACACCCACCTGCTTTTACATTTATGCCGCAGATAACCACTCATCTTGCCATCTGCTCCAGCAGACGCCGTGTCCAAATGCAAGAGACATTTCATGCAGCCCTCCTGATAGCGCACAGCGATAGAAAACCATACTTCCTCTTTGGCTCGGTAACTGGTTTCTCTTATGCCAATGCGATGACGGATTCAAAGGAGATGATTTGAGAGCAACTTGCCTGTAAGGAAAGGTGGTGGCATTTGGGACTTCATAGTTCGGAGGAAAGGTGACAAAGAGGTGACACCTTAGAAGTTACGCATGGACAGAAAAGTGGATGAAGGTTTTTCCTCTCTCATAACACTCAGACTTGTCGACAGTGAAGCTGAATGTTGGAAGGTTCAGGGCAGATAAAAGAAAATACTTATTTCCGAAAGTTAAACTACAGAACTCGATTCCACAGGAGGCCACAGGATGATCACCAACTTGGATGGCTTTAAATGGGAATGGGATGGTTATGCTCTGTCTCCACAGTCAGAGGCAGCAATGCAGAGGACCTTACAGTCTTCAAATAAAAACATCTTGGAGATCCCGGGCCACAGGGAGGTTAGGCTGGCCTCAACCAGAGCCAGGGCTTTTTCGGCTGTGGCCCCGATCTGGTGGAACGCTCTGTCACAAGAGACTAGGGCCCTGCGGGACTTGACATCTTTCCGCAGTGCCTGCAAGACAGAGCTGTTCCACCAGGCCTTTGGCCAGGGCACAGTCTGACCCCTTCCTTCTGTAATTCTCATAGAACTCTAACCCAATGGTTGCCATTAATTTGACTCTGAATTGATTTTAGAATGAATTGATTTTAGAATATATTTTAATTAATTGATTGGGATTTTATGTAAACTGTGTTATTTTTACTGTTGTTAGCCGCTCTGAGCCCTGCTTCGGCTGGGGAGGGCAGACATTTCATGTGTCATCAGTGAACCTTGTGCATTACAAGCAGTTTTGCAGAGCCTCAATTCCATAGTCAGTGTTCAGAAAACACTGATGGAACTAAAACTCAGCCAGTATTTATTTACTCTATAAGTGCTGTCCTTAATGGCTGTCGACAAACTTGCTGATACCCTGGCTTCACCTAGATGATGATGATGATGATGATGATGATTTTATTATTTATATGCCACCCATCTGATTGGGTTGCCCCAGCCACTCTGGGCGGCTCCCAACAAAATATGAAAAACACAATAAAACATCAATCTGTAAAAAACACACACTTCCCTATACAGGGTTGCCTTCTTATTTGGCTGAGAAGAATGGCAGAAACCAAGCAACCAGCACTACCACCCCACAGAGCTATTGCTTTGCTCTGTCTAAAAACAAAACTGAGTGGAGGAACAGTTCAGTCTAACTAAAACCCCTTCCCTGTGAGGCAATAGATCCTCTCAGAGAAGTGGGGCTGCCATTATTTTTCAGCGGAGCACAACAAAGGATTCCATCTTTTAACGTTCTTCTGTGTTTTTTTTTATAAGATATTTATTAAGGTTTTCATAACATTACAAAATGCAAAAAAAAAGAAAGAAAAAGAAAAAAGAAAAATACAAAATAACAATGATTAAAAACAATTCATTCTTTCCATTACTTATCTTTCATTTGCTTATTTCCCGGACCTCCTCACGCCTCCCTTTTTAGTATTCCGGTTTGGTTTGTTAGTTCAGCAAATCCCTCCCCTCTTTGTATATCCTTATCGTTAGTCATAAAGTATTATAATTTTAAATTTTTGCCTATTAGTAATCCATTTTTTCATATTCCCTTATAATATTTCAGCTAAAGACCACTTAGTTTCTATCCAACATCATTCTAGCATTCATTAATTTTGCAATATTTCTGTAAATAGTCTTTAAACTTTTCCCAGTCTTCTTCCATCAACTCTTCTCCCCGGTCTCGGATTCTGTCAGTCATTTCCGCCAATTCCATATAGTCCATCACCTTCATCTGCCATTCTTCCAAGGTGGGTAGATCTTGTGTCTTCCAATACTTTGCGATGAGTATTCTTGCTGCTGTTGTGGCATACATAAAAAAAGTTCTATCCTTCTTTGGCACCAGTTGGCCGACTATGCCCAGGAGAAAGGCCTCTGGTTTCTTCAAGAAGGTATATTTAAATACCTTTTTCAATTCATTATAGATCATCTCCCAGAAAGCCTTAATCCTTGGGCACGTCCACCAAAGGTGAAAGAATGTACCTTCATTTTCTTTACATTTCCAACATTTATTATCGGGCAACGTTCTTCTGAGCAATCTCAAATGTTAGGCCTCACATATCACTGAGCAGGAGAAAGCCAGCAATGAGAACAAGAAAACGTCAAAGCACCAGGACTAGGTCAAGACATGCACCACACCTGAGGGCCATAGATTAGCTTAGTGGGTGCCGCACCCTACAACAGTTGCCACCTGAGGCAGCTCTTTTAGTCTGCCTAATGGTAGGGCTGGCACTTGGTGAGGCATTTCTCTAACTTACTGTATAAAACAAAACCCGAAACCTGCCGTTAAAGAAATACATAAACTACCATCTCCGGGGGGAGGAGCCAACATGGCGCCGAGGTAAGACGCGCTTACCGGTGCTCTTCGGACTTCTTTTAATCTTTTTTAATCTTTTATACTTTTATCTCAACTGACTCAGTCAGTTTTTGAAGTATTTTATAATTGCTGCAGCCGCATACCTTGGAAACTCTTTGAGAGATTTGGCCCTGCTCCAGACTGCTGCAAGCCGCTCTTTGTTTCTCTCATATCAGCGGGCTGGCTTTAGCTGCTAAAGGAGTTGAGAACGCCATTATCTTAATTGCGTGTTAAGTGTTATGTTATTTTAAGAATCGTATAATCTCTGGCCTGAGGAAAGCATGGGTCAGAAAAACGCTTGAGAGACTTTGACGAGCCCCTATCATCCCCTAAACCAAAACTATCAAGGCTGGTGCCACACCGGAAGGGAGGAGGGCGTGACCATGCCGAGCAATGATTTGCAGTGGAAACCCAAAATCGCTGCCAACCTCGAATTGATTTAGAAGCTACCCGATTCCGATGACTCAAAATGTTTCAAATGTAAAGCCTGTAAAGGAGAATACGAAAGAAAACTCTCATCGCAGGAAGATGGTTTGGCATCTGTTATGGGGGAGTTCCCAGTTGTGAGCAGTTACACTTAGTAATTAAGACCCTTCACTGTATTTTTAAAAGGCTGGACGAGGTATCTTCACAATTATCCAATATCCTGCTGAAAATCGGAAAACTTGAATCAACAACACAATCCTCAGTTTGTGAGGTCAAAAACTTATTGCCTCACCCCCATTCAGATAAAATACTGGAGACTAAAACTAAATATGTCTTAAATTCCCAATTGAACAATCAGATATTAACTTTGCAACCCAAGAAAAGTTGCCTTTCTGTCAGGTCGGAAATAGGAAGATGGTCAACGCTAGAAGGAGCTAAAGACTGCTTAAGCAAACTTTTAAAAATTAAGAAATATCAGATTGACCTATATGCTGTAAATGCCCCTTCCCGGCAGACCAACTTCTTGAAGGTGATACTTGCGTTCCACTCTGAAAAGATACCATCTATTATTGTTAGGAGGAAAACGCTTTTGTCCATGGCCGACATTGTAGCAACGAGGGTTTTTACAGACAGCAAGATCAAACCCCTTCTAAATAGGTGCCCTGGCGGTGAGGACATTAGGACAAGAGACTCTGCCTTACCTCAAAATACTGTCAGGCCCAATCGCGATGACTCTGCAGCGTGCCATCCGCGACCAAACTCGATACCCTCTCAAACTGCTATATATGAGGATGATAATCTGCAGACTGCCCTCGACGAAAGGGAACTTATTGATTCATTCAGAGCCCTTCCTCCGAAAGAACAGTCGGTGATGATGCAAAGATTTGACACGCTTAAATCTCAGCTTTTGCAAGTCCAACATAGAGGGGAAGATACTAACGATGTCTCAAATAATCCCACTTGGGCCCACCGGACAGAAGTGGTTGACCTTCTTCAGCTCAGTCCCACTCTGAATTCAAAAACCATCCGACAAGACTCAAATCTTCAAGTTGCTTCTGCAGCGTGCGCTACATCACGAGACGACCAGGCTCTGCCATCCTCACTGAACCTTCATCTATATTCATCAACCAACATATCTAAGGACGAAATTCTGATTTCCTGCTTGACTCAAATCCTCTTTAACTCACTCATCTATGCCAGAGCTAGAATCTTCTCCGGTTTCGTCCAGATATAGAAGTAGTCCACAAGTGATGCCCCTGAGAGAGTCTTCCGCAATTTCCACCTCCGTGATGCCCCCTCAATTACCTCCTTCAAAGGAAACTGCGAATGTTACACCTCGGACCCGCCGTCAGAAATGATTGAAGACCCGATGGGACGCATCAATAAAATAATCCGAATGTCGGATGACAAATCTGCGAGAGGGTTTACCCCGACGGACTCAATTTCCCCCTACCTGGGTATTTCTCTGTCAAGTTGTACCAAGAATTTCGAAATGAAGAGACTTCCTGTTCAGAGACCTACTTTCAGTGGATCATCCACGGTGTGCCAACAGTCGAACCAAATTGTTAAAAACTTTAATTTGCAGGGCGCCTCACAGTTACCATCCTCCCAAAGTAAAATAACTGACTTTTTTGTTACATCTTCTGTCTCTAACAGAGAGTCTGCCCTCCATTTTGACTGTTAAAAGAACAACATAGAAGTCCCCAGCTAGCAGTCCTAAGTTGGAACATTGCTGGCTGGAAAAGGAAAAGATTAG